TCTCTCTCTCTCTTTTTTTTTTCTCTCCTCTCTCTCTCTCCTCTATCTCTCTTCCTCTCTCTCTCTCTCTCTCTCTCTCTCTCTCTCTCTCTCTCTCTCTCTCTGTGTGTGTGCCTCTCTGTCCATCTGTCTCTCTCTCTCCCCTCTACTCTCTCTCCCTCTCTTCTCCCCCCCTCTCTCTCTCTGTCTCTCTCTCTCTCTCTCTCTCTCTTTCTCTCTCTCTCTCTCTCGTGTTATAATATGCATTTCTTTTTTAAGGTAATTCCAAACGTAAGGAGCATTAAAAACAAGAATGTCTACACCCTTCGTATCTGACATTACAATCCGCGCCCTCGTGAGATTTTCCTCTGAAGTTCTCAAATGTCATTTTAACCCTATCCGTACATCGTGTTGTACTATCGTATCCATACAACATGGGGAACTCTGTGTCACCACTTTCCAAAGAAGAAATTTACTTGTTAATCCGATGCATACGCTTTGCATAGCAGTCTGTCAAAATGATTTTTGTGAAATACTGAAAGTTTCAAAGAGATCTGCGTACTAGAAGTATTCTAAAATGTGAAGAATACAACCCCGGGGGGGGGGGGGGGGGGGTTAAAAATTACCCCTAGGCGTACGGATAGGGTTAACATGTATGACTCAATAAGGTCTTTAAAACATTTTGGTGCTTTGTTAATATTAATTTGTTCATGTATTTGTGACACTTATGTTTAATGCTATGTCGCCGTGCCTGTAATTCTGATTTTTCAGACCTGGCTCTCTATGTTTATAAGCCGTGGGAAGATCCGCTCAACGTAACTGCCAATATGATTGCCCTATCCGACGTGAGTATCGCAATTCTTCCGTACGAGCTTGATATGGCATTTGCTGTTAGATCATTATTGTTTGTTAGATTTTTAGAAGTATTCATAATTATTTATCCTCATTTTCAGTCGTTCCAAGTTTTGAAACTGCAAGCTCATATTTTCATCCATGATAGTCCAGTGCAATTACATTTGTACCTTTTCGATACTTAAAAGAGGATACGGTAAGACAAGGAAATTAAGGTAAAATGAGATACCCTCTGTTGTAATGTGTTGCTTTCGAAACATAATTGGCTTCATGATATATGAATGCATTATTTTTCTATGACACGCACACACGCTCGCAAACACACACACACAAACACACACACGCACACACACACACACACACACACACACACACACATACACACAAACACACACAAACATAGAAACACTCACCCACAACAAAAGCAGACAGGCAGATTATATTGTCCACGCCGCGTGCGGAGACGGTAAACAACGGACAAAGGTTCTTCACCCTTTCCCCCTTCACTATGTACTCATTCCTTTGTTGTGTGAGTGACCGCGCGCTATCCGCCCGCCCGCCCATCCCGCTGCTGATGCCCATCTGTCCATCTTGCTTTGTTTGTGTCTGTCTTTCTCTGCCACCTCTAGCCAGGCTAGGTACAGAGGGTGGAGAAGGAACAATCGGGAACATTCTAGGATGGGCCTCTCTCTCTCTCTCTCTCTCTCTCTCTCTCTCTCTCTCTCTCTCTCTCTCTCTCTCTCTCTCTCTCTCTCTCTCTCTCTCTCTATCTGCAGTGCCCCACCTCCCAAACCGCAAGACAGGACGGTCTTTCTCTTTCTGTCCTTCCCTCCCTCCTCCCGCTCCCATTCCATTTCCTTTTTATCAAAGAATTTAAACATGTGCAGGAAAAGGACACGCCAAGCTGTCCCCGTTAATGGCAGTAACTACGATAAAATAATACCAAAACGAAGAAAGGACCTCCGAAAAAAATAGAAATTAATTTTAAAATTTTAATAAAAAACCTAATGATGATAACAACAACAATAATAATATT